TTAGGTTATGCATTTTCTTTTCTGTCATTCCATTTTGTTTATGAATTCCTGTGGTGCTTTACTCTTGTGTTCACTGCCATTGCATGCGCTGATTTTTAATGGTTTCGGTTGAATTTGTTTTTGCTTATAATGGCTGATAACTCTTGTAGCTTATACAGTTCTTAATTTTTTCACTATATGGGCAAGTTATATTTGGGCATGTTAGCTTGTTGGACATCCCATTTGTTTGATCCCTGAATTATTGTACCATGTGGAGTACGCTTTTGAGTACCAGTGAAACATCCACTCCAAGAAGAATAAATGATTTCCTTTGTGGCAGCCAGAGCTCTCTCTCATTTGATGACCCTGGCACATTGCTTTCCAGGTGGAACATTATTTTTCAAATATATTTCCTTGTTGTACTGAAACTTAGACTTGTGTAAAAATTGGTTTGGGACGGTTTGTTCAAATCAAATTGATTCTTCTGGGATTTACTTGTGGAGTCTTATTAATTGAATAAGACTCCAAAGGTAAATCCCAGCCAGTTATTTGTTTTGGTGTGAATTAAAAGGTCTTTAATTTGGATGAAGTGACCCAAATACATTATTGAACAACTCTAGTGAAAACACACTGGTTTACTTTTTGCCTCATGGGCTTTACAGCTTATTGTCCTTCATTCCCTTTGACATGCATAGTTTCTTCTGGTGTTCAGAAATTACCATATTTTTCCATGTATAAGACTATGTTTATTTCTAAAAAATTTTAGTCTAAAATTGGGGGTCATCTTATACATGGAATGTCACTGCAGGGGTTAAAAAACACTTGTGCACGGGCCTAAGTTAAAGAGACACTCCAGGCACCCAGACCACTTCTGCCCATTGGAGTGGTCTGGGTGCCAACTTCCACTACCCTTAATCCTGCAACTGTAATTATTGCAGTTTTCATAAACTGCAATAATTACATTGCAGGGTTAACTCCTCCTCTAGTGGCTGTCTAGAAGGGGAGGAGCGGCTGCGACCCAAAACCACTGCCGAGGGACATCGGCGGGGGTCTCAGGTAAGTCACTGAAAGGGTTTTCACCCCTTCAGCAACCGGGGATGGGTGGTGGGAGGGAGAGGGGACCTGCAGTGCCAGGAAAAAGGATTGTTTTCCTGGCACTGGAGAGTCCCTTTAAGATAACGCCTGCCGCATTTCAGTGTACCACGGCCCAGGCACATACCTAGCCTCCCTCCCGCTGATCCACTTCTGAATGCTGTGGAAAGGAGGAAGAGGTCCCTATATGCGTGGGAGCTGCAGCAGACATCAGCACTTACCACCAACGGAGCTCCAGAGACCTGCCACACCATAAAAGGAGCAGTCATATTAAGGTTTGCTCAATCTCAGGTAGGTCTTGCTTTCTGGTTTATATTTATGGGGGAGGAAATGGGGATCAGGGAGCAGAGGGAATACTACTGTGATGTCCCAGCATGCCCTCACACCACCTGCTATATTGTGGGAGCTCTAGTCTCCCAGCATGCACTATAGAGCCATTAAATTCACAGAGTACCGTAGCACAGGAGGAGGCATGAGAATCAGAAGTGTGTTGTTCTTCTCAGAAGTCACCTCTAAAATAACAAAGTTGTCATATTTGATGTTCAAAATATTGATTTCTTAATATGGGGCTCAAAAAATAGGGGTCGTCTTATACACAGAAAAATACGGTAATTTTTCTTTAGTATGTTCTAGCTTTGCTCCAGACCTGTTAGGAGGAAAATATGATTCTGGGAGGCTGAATATCAATAAACCCTTGATACGACTGTCCTTCAATTTTTTCAAAATTGAAGCAAGCATACCTCCCCACAGTGTCATGGTTTTGAGGACATTAGAGACACGTCTGAAATAAACGCAATAGATATGCTTGTGCTGCACAAATTAAACACAGCTGACTGATTCTATCGTTCATATTTACAAATTAAACCATCATCACTAGGCAAATACATTTCTTCTTTGTGTACTCATAATTAATTTTAATTGAGATTTGCAGGCTAAGACATAGAAAAAAATTGATTAAAAAATTATATTGCATTCATATTTTATACAACATCTCAAGTACATGCTGTCCAACATTTTTAACAAGCTGGACATGTCCTTTACAACTATGCAAATAGTACCACACTTTATTATGTTATCCTAATTTGAAGCAAAGGTCTTACTGCTTCTTCTGAAACATAATGTACCAAATTTGCATCTGGCTTTTGTTAATGTTTTTAAAAATGCAAGTAGCTAAAGGTTTTATCAACAGAGCAAATTGCCAGGATCTAAGGGAGTGTCTGTTACTCAGATAACAATCAGACTGTCCCATAACATTTGTGGGAAAAAAAAATCAGACACTATTCCAAACGGAAAGTTGTAGGACAAACATACAGGTTTTTTCACTAAACAACACATTTTAGAGAATTACATCTGAATGTAATAATTAAGACAAAAAAGGTTAACTGAAGAAATTCTCCAACTCAGTTATAGCCAGGGCCGGCAGTACCTGTAAGGTGACCTAGGCAGCTTTAGCAAGCCTCAGGCGGCGCAGCACTGCTGTATGGAGGGCGGCCGGATTTGAGTGACCGGCAGAAGGGAAGCACAGAGCGCTCTCTCGTGCCGGTCTCTCAATGTAGCGTGGCCGGGCGTCACGGAACGTGGGACAGGAACCTCTGTTTCCTGTACCCGGCCGCAAGCGGACTTACAGGAAGTGCTCAGTCAGTGAGCGCTTCCCTTCAGTCCGCCGGCGGCCGGGTACAGGAAACAGCGGTTCATGTCCCGCGTTCCGCGCCGCCCGGCCACACTACATAGGCAAGAGGGAAGAGGAGGGTAAGGACCACTGGGGGAGGAGTCTGGGTCTTGAAAGGAGCTTCGGGGGATTTGTGCTTCTAAACATGCGGCTCCGCAGTGGCCTCGGGTGTCATCAGGGGTCTGTGCCCAATGTGAATCGACTCCCCTCGCTTCAGCTAGCATAAGGTCCATGGACTTCGGACCACGATGTTCCACCCCAGTGCGTGAGCTTCGTGAGGCTTAACTAACCGGCTTGGTTTCCTGCTGGTGCAGACTCTGAACGCAGGCTGAGATCTGAAGCTGTGTCTGAGGCGTGGGCAGTATAGGTTGCTTTCTCCGATCTTCCCAGCCCTTTCAAAATCACTGGCACATGGCGTCGAATGATGCAAATAATTCTTCTTCCCATAGCCGGGTAGTGCCGTCGGCCATTTTGGATATGCCGCGTGTAGGTTGCTTATCCATGTGAAAAATGACAGCCTGATTGGGAAGATTGGAACCCCATAACTCCAACACAACAACAATCGGAAACAGTTCCAAAAAAGTTAAAATTTCGCAACAAACCCGTGTCCTGCCAGACAGCGGGCCATGCCTCTGCACACAACCAGCCCTGAAAATAAGCACCAAACCAAAATACGGAACCCGGCGCATCTGTAAACAGATCCAAGACCGAATTAACCGTTGCTTCCCGCAGCCAGCATGAAAGACCATTGTATCGCCCCAAGAAGAAGCATCTGCCTTAATTGAACCTTTTTTGCTCCTTTCACCCAATCCACGAGGCAAAGCAAAACCAACAACTTGTCCACCGGAATCCGACAAACCATAAGTACCGTATCGATTTCTATACCTAAAAAAGACAGAGTCAACACTGGCCCCACCGTCTTGTGCTCTGCCATCGGAAACCAAAATTCCATCGAAACCAGCTGAAAAGTCTGAAGCAGCTCATTACAAACCTGTGACGAAGCAAGACTGACGAACAGAAAATCATCTAAGTAATAAGTAAGGGACCCCCATCTTGCCACTAGAGCCACCCATTCTAAAAAGGTTGCAAGCATTTTGAAGTAAAAACTAGTAGGGATGTGCATGGGAAACATATTCGGTTTGGTTCAGCATTCCGAAATTCGGGACTTCAGCACTTCGGAACATCGGCACTTCGACACTTTGGGGCTTTGGAACTTCAGGATTTCGGGTAAGTATAGGGTTAAGGGTAGGGTTAGGTTAGGGTTAGTTTAAGGTTAGGGTAGGGTTAGAGGTAGAGTTAGGGGTACTGTTAGGGTAGGGTTAGAGGTAGGGTTAGGCTTAGGGGTATGGTTAGAGGTAGGGTTAGGGTAGGGTTAGGTTAGTGGTAGGGTTAGGGTAGGGTTAGAGGTAGCGTTAGGGTAGGGTTCGTGTATGGTTAAGGTAGGGTTAGGGGTAGGGTAGGGGTCGATGCCTACCCTACCGCCGGGTAGGACAAGTGGTGAATCAATCGAAAAGCACAAGATTCTTTCTTTGGGACCAATCCCTAGGGCGAGACTCGCAGGTTATGAAAAGACAGAAAATCAAACAGACCCGCCATTCAACCTAAGCGGACCTCCGCATCTAGCTTGGCCTGCAGAAGGACCTCCTTACCCCTTACAGAATAAACATTTTTGGCAAACGTAGACAACTCCGACGCCACAAACGGGATCCAAAATCCGATGTAAAAAAACCTTCAAACAGGACACCGGTGTTGTGTCGCCAAGGGTACAGCTCGAGCCACAGGCGCATCCTTACGACGCTCACCGGATTCCTCTCCTTTCGAAAACTTGTCTCGACTCGATCCCCGAGCCAACTCGTCTCGACCGGTACCATGTGACGCTGGCTTCCCTTTACGGAAGCATTGCATGGCAGGGTATGCTTTGCCGCAATGTGAGCATTCATGCCTAAACCTGCAGGAACTATACCACCTGCAGTGGCTCTCTTAAAGAGCCAGCACACTTCTTTTTTGTTTCCCGCAGACGTACCGGTGAATATGTCGGCTGTCCCTGGAAAGGGGGCCAGGGGACATGTAGTCATCAAAGCAACCATAAACTGCCATCTTGAATATCGGAGCTCATCCCCAGACAGGCTGACATTTTTTGGCGGAATTCTTGGTCATACCGAAACCAAACATTGGCCGCCGTATATTTTGTATGCCCCCCAGATCAGGTCGAAAAGAGAGGGAGCCTCCCTGGCCCCCAATCCATCCACTGCTGCCTGGCATGGACTCACCACCACGCCTTATATCCTGGACTGCTGTGCTCCTCCCGAGCTGCTCCTTCTCTAAGAGGCCTGTGATGCAGCCATTCTCCGGTGCACTGGCATCACGTACTCACCCCTGCTTGCCTTTGTCCCAGCCGCACTGCCGCCATGTGCCATTACTTCCAGCGCCATTGGGGCACTCACCGATGATGTGCTATCCGGCACCGACCTTCTTCCACCGCTACGCGCCCGACATCCTGGCGTCTGTCCCGCCGGAAGAAAAGCTGGGCTGCGCGAGCTCCCTGCCATTGCGCCGCCATCTTGGGCCTTACTTCCCCGCTCGATTCGTCACCTCCTCCAACCGAACCGAATTCACTGTATTTCAATGACTACTCTGGAGGTCTGCACTGGGGATTTGTTAAAGTTGGGAGAGGTTAGTGGTGGCTGATTGCTGTCATCCAGAGGAAGTTAAAGTTAAGATCCTTCAATCTCCGTCGCAACTGGTGAATCCCCTCCCCTTGTGCACCCTTACATCAGCTCCATTGATGCTACAAAGTATCTCCATTAGTACCAGCCCCTAAGCCTACCCAGCAGTCACGTTCTCCCTTCCTTAGTGTCCAGGGAGATTCCAGAAGAGTCTTTGGTTACAACCACAGAGTTTGGTGCATTGTGTGAACTTGGCGGGACTTCAGCAAATTTTAAGAAGTTATTACACCTGAGTATCACAGTTCACTATAGAAATAATTTCTAAGGAAGAAAATTCAGAACTTGTAATGCGTTTTAGTAACCAAAAAAAACTAAAAGACTTATTGCCATATTATTTTTAACTAGTTTCATACCCCTTAGCAAATTTAGGACATTAAAAAAGTTCTTCATTTTCATCATATGAACCCTTCCTATCTCCCAGCTGTATAATTTTATGACTTGCTGCATTATTCACAATTTACAGAATTTTAGCAAACAAAATCTTAATGGCTAAACTGAGGCTACTTTAGACAAGCTATGACTATAGGTGAGATAGAGAATTTCTACAGTTCTGCTATTTTTGCCTCTATTTTGGATGTATAGTTCATTCACTTAAATTCAATATTTAGTGAATAACCTTGTTGGTCTTATCCAGCACTGATCCTGTTTAGAACACATTAGCTAAAATCTTTCTATGGCCTGCTAACTTCCTAAAACGTTTACAGTAATTCTAAAAATATTTTTGATGACGCCTTTAATGTGGTAGAAATTTTTCTTTCAAAAATAAAAATCAATGGCTTGAAATAGAATAGACAATTGCTGAATATATATTTAGTGGAATGTTCCATTATTTAAATGATAGCACAGTCGTATTTAGCTCATACTAGACAAACAAGCAGTGGATCAGTGGTTGAAATGTTTCCTGTTAACTTCCTGCTTAGTATCATACATGCCTGTTGTGAGAGTTTGTACTTATCAAGATACTGTACTTGATGACAGATCAAACAGGAAATTCATAGTAAAACTACTCTGACATCAGTTAGTGCTTCACAAACAACGCAACCTAAGATTGGAAAATAAATAAAAATTTTAAAATCCTTTTTCTTAATGGAAATGTGTCTTATTTACTGTGTATTTAGGTAAGTGGAACATTTAAAATGTTGGTATATTGAAAATATAGGAACATTCCTTAAATGTAGGCAATGATACACTACACACACACAAAAAACCCCATTATATATATATATACACATATCGATATACAGCAAAGAAATATAAATTCACCTGTGTGCAGATAGAAAACACACTTAGTGGGTATTAAGTGAAAAAACACATAAATTACCCTTAATTAATTGTATTGTAGATGAAAGGATTCCTCTTATATCCTCAAGACAATAATAACAAAGTGCCAAAAAAAAAAAAAATGTTCCACAAGTCCTGAGGTTCATACATCATTGTATCTGATGTGCCTTCAATCAAACTGCTTTTGTGAGTGCAACAAGTTATATTTATAATTTCTATTTTGCAACATTATTGCGCTATGTCCGTCTTTATTGTTTTTGTATTGTAGATAGCCATTTTTTTGGCACTTTGTTAATATATACACATATACATATTTATATTTTGTGTAGGGTTTCATTGCCTACATATAAGGATATACTATGTATGTATGCATATATACACACACAGTATAAGACTGCAATTAAGTAATCTATTTTCTTCTATAAATAGTGTAGCAAGTTTAAATATCCTAATCCTTAACTCACCTTTATTCCTACCCTAGTCCTAAAACCCCAAGTCTCCACTGCCCTTAACCCTAGCAAAATGGTGCCATAATGAACAGAGCTGTAATTATGAAATTACTCAAATGCTGTTCACCATTCTAGAAGCTGTGTTTCAATGCAAAATTTTAATTGCATTAATTGCTGTTTCATTGCCAGACATACGCAGACCCCAATGTAACATGCCAGACACATCCACACCCCAATAAACACGGCCAGACATACACATGCCCCTGCATACACTGCCAGGTACATTGTCCCAGGGAAGGCACACTGTCAGGGCACACACAGTTACACATTGCCACAAGCACTGCTCAACACAAACACAATCACACTTTCAGACACAAACTGCAAGACACACACACTACTATGCTTACACTTAGTAGTGTGTGTGGTTAGCAGTGTGATTGCGTGTTATTTTTAGCCACCCTCCTTCTTGCTTACCAGGCAGGCCACTTACAGGGCATAGGCTGGAGCTTTAGTGGGCTGCTCTCCTCCCATGCGGTTTCTTCTTCTCAACACTTCTCGCATTGTAAGGAAGTGATTTAGGACCACTTCCTTTCAATTCACAGCCACAAGAAAATTTAACCAAAGTGGATTATTGAGATCAGCATAGCAATAGTTTAAAAACTATTGTATTGTGTCTTACATTTTTAGAAAGTTCAAAATCACTGTTTGTTTAGTAGACAGGCCCTAAAGTGCATTATTCGAAATAAAATTAATACAGGCTTGGGGTCAAAATCCAGGGAGGGTCAAAATGGTACAATGGGCTGTACAGGGAGCTGTAGTGTTTGCAGTCTTTAGCTTAGCATAAGTGTCCCTTTTATTTTTTACAAGTATTAGTTTTACAAAACGGTCATCCCTTGCAAAAAAAAATGTGCAGATTTGAAAATAAAGTTTACTTGTTCATTTTCCTTATTGATTAGGCTCCAGAAACGTTTCTGCAGGCAGTGATTATTTTTGTGGGTTTTTTTTTCAATTAATTATGTTACTACAAATTTGGAAGAATTAGTAGAATGTCTAATGACGGGAACATATCTATTAGCCATATGCGCAAACATTGACGTCCCACGAAGCAGAACGCCAGAGTGGTAAAAGAGTTGTGCCAGTGATGTGTGCCCCAAAGGGGCAGACTTATCTGAAAAGGGTGTGGAAATAACTGTCAGTGCTATTTGCAGGGTCCTAAACCCACCGAGGAAAGGATTGCAGGGAGCACTGTTCCAGCATTATTATATTATATGATATTGTATATTTGATGTATATACATATTGTATATATTTTACTATATTATATGTCATATGGGATGTTCTGTTTTCAATGCTTATATAGTGGGGGTTTTTTTTTAATTATCTTCTAAATAAAAATGTATTTAAACAAAAACCTATGTGTTTCTTTTAGTCAGGACATTATTTGTCCTTAACAAAACAAGATCACTACTCAATGTACAGCTTGAAAACATGTAACAAAAACATTCTTAGAAATGTTTGTTATAAAACTGAAGCAAGAATTTATTTATTTTTAAAAAAAATGAACACATTTACATCACTTTTGAAAAATTCCTCCCAATGATTTTACTAAATGACCGATATGAAGAAAATATATCTGCTGTTCCTGTAATAAAGGTCAACTGCAACAATTAAAAAAAAATGACACACACTTCTAAAACATTCAAGATAACATCTTAGATCTTAGTAAGAATGATATACACATACACATGGCAGCCCTAGTGAGAAAGGGTAAGCATTTAGGGAAAGTCCATATGGGGGTGGGTATGGGGGAGTATAAAGCTTGATGTAAATGTGCCATTTAAAAGTAAAATCACATGATTCCATGAAAATATTAGAAACGCCTCTCTGAGGGTTTTTTCTTTTGATTTCACAGTAACAAGATCAACGGAAAGGCCAGAGAGTGATACTAAACTGTTTTGCTTGAGGAGAAACTGTGCAGGAAATCCCACTACAGAGTTTCATTTCTCTCTGCCCTGTCCATTTCACAAAACCTGTCTCGCTTCCTGTTGCAGTATTACCAAAGCTGATACTTACACTACCTCAGTTTAACTGGTTTCAATTTAGGTTTTGATGAGAAAAAACCAGTCTATGACTGAAACTTTTCCACATGTGACGATATGACCTGTAGTGATATATTTCATAACCAATAACCAATACAAACTTTTTTTTAAATGGTTACACTACAATATACTGCATTTATTCAAATCTAATGCACCATTGAATATAATGCACACTAAAATGTTGAAACCTGGAAACAGAAAAATGTTTTCACTGGCGAATGCAATTCGGATTTCTACAGGAAAATACTACTATACAACATATAGGTCGATAAGTGAGGACCGCCCTTTGAATTTGCATTCGTATCGCGACAAAGATGCAAGGCACAGCTTTACTGTACATAGAAACAAAGTCTTGCATCCTCGCCGCAGCAATGCAAATGTGAATTTTGCCCCGGCTAATTCGCATTGTATACCCGTCGTATCTAATGCGCTATTCGTACGCCAATCTAATGCTCATTAAAATTTTAGAGACTTCATTTTGCCAATAAAGGTGCGCATTAGATTTGAGTAAATAAGGTATATCAAAGTGCAGTGATTAACCCTTGGATGGGACCCAGGCGATTTCAGCGGATCCCCAATGGATACAGGCTAAAGCAAGTGTCCACAATGAACCGGTTACTGTAACAGCACAATGGAGAGATGATTGTAGTGAGGGTATTTTGCAGAATTAATTTTGTTGTATATGTACATAAAAAACATTAAGGTGGTGCCAAGTGACTTATCTGGTTCACCTAGAAAACATGCCTGACACTATCCAGCATGTCCACTCTGATGGACACCCTTGTACAAAGGAAACTCGCTCGAATAGCCAAGACGCAACATGGAGGACACCTTCTCACCTAGAAAACTGGAGGCACAATCCAGGTCTACTAGGGTACCATATTCGCGTACCTGACTTTGTTTGTAACTTTTTCTCTTTTTACAACATTGTCTCACGACACCGTTATGTTAAGGTGGTCTGCACCTCCAGTTGGTACAGACAGCACAGCTTAGCGTCCCATGCGCTCTGACACCTCCTGGCACAGTTTTCATGGCAACGCTTGGTCTCACCAGAAAAGCGCCAGAGCAAAGACCT